AAGGCATTAAAATAAAGTCACTGGGTGGTTTTGAGCCCGTATGCATGAGGAATCGAGTGTGAATTCCTGGACTCTAATGAGCTGGTGTGCAAAGGGGGCTGGAGGGGACACAGCACCCTCAAGACGAGCCCCTTCTGGCTGCATGGGGTTCGTTTTAGGAAGGTGAGAAGCCAGCGTGCAAAGCGGTATCTGTGCTCTAATCTGCACACCACGGGCTGAAAAGGTAATTGCATTTTAACATAGCTGTTCTTGTGATTTCCTTTTATACCCTTGATTTCTTCCTGTAATCCTAATGAGGAATCTGCATGGAGATCTCTCGAGAATAAAGGGCTTTTATGTCAGGTGTGCTCTGCCGAAGGGTTTAATACTGGGTTTTGCTCAGCGCTTTTCCCAGGTCATGCTGGGCTCCGTGTCTCCTTTTCCTGACCTCTTCCCTCCACTTCGCCATCACCTCATCCCAATTTATTACCCAACAATTTTTTTTTCAAGGTAGGGAAAATAATTTTTCTGAGATTTTCCTCCCCTGTGACGGGATGCTACTTCCTTACCCTACTTAAAACTTGCATTTAAGGTCTTAAAAGTGAGCACATGTACTAAATTGGGAATGAGTCCAGAAACAAACCATTCCCTCTTGCAGCAATGCTTCATCTTGATTTGCACAGTGTAATACAGGCAGAATCAGCCAAGCCCGAGCAGATAGACACCAACTCGCCAGAAAAACACCCAGGGGTTTTGAGTTGTTTGTCTGAGCATGGGAAGTGACTCCCTCGCCTTGAAGCAGCAGTGGGTTTTCACAGACCCACTGTCTCACAGTTTCTGCAGTACAGGAGAAAAACTCTTCTTGCATTTAGCTTAAATCAGCATTTATTAGCAAGAGGAAAACCTCAGCATCGGCTGTCAGGTTGCAGAAGCCCTCGGAGCTGCTCGCGGGGTTGGTGCTGTTGCTCTCTGCTGGATGGCTGCAGAATTGCTCAGCTCTTTGGGACTGTCTCAGCGGGTGATTTAGGGGTAGGAGAGAGGGCTTGGGGTGCACGGGGTTAAGGATCCCTCCTCACACCCCAGCTGGTCTCCACACCATGTGCAGCACCAGCCTTGCGAGCTGGCACCAAAGTGCCACCATGCGCTGCGGGCTGAGCCGGGCCCCGTGTAGGACCCGCGCAGCGGCTGCTCTTGTGTTACTTGTTTCTCAGTGACTACCCTGAGGAGCATCGCTGTTAGAAATGAGCGTTTCGTGGTTCTGTCCCCAGCAGTGCAGTAGGAGCAGCTCATGCTCCATAAAACATCACCTTCTCTGTAAGAAACTCGGAGCTGTGAAAACACTGATGGGACAAAAAGCTTCAGGAGTTTTTTTTGTTTTGTTTTGTTTTGTTTTCTATTCCTAAAGATAGAGACCTGGTCATTTACGGCTTAAAAATATGCTTGTGTTTCTTTCTCTGGCCCACATTTTGCTGGCATGGCTCCAGCAAAGGTAATTACATTGCATGCCTGTAAATTCCAGCCCGGTGGCTTCCTGTTGGGAATGGTTTTGTTCTCCCCGTCCTGGCTCCGGTGGCAGCGAGATGACGCTCCGTGTCATTAAACAGCTGCTGCTGTCACCTCCCGATGAAGTCGTTCGTAGCCAAACAGTGAGTTCAGAAAGTCCTTTTGGGCCTTCCCAGATGCAGTTTGATCATGAAGCAGCAATTCAGCTTCTGCAGGGTGGGGATTTGCCTGCTGGCTCGTGCCCCCCCGGGGCCATGGAGGACATTGAGGAGATGGAGGAGACACCCAGTCCATGAAGGGGATGTGCTGGGTCACCCACCAGTCCAAAGGGCTAACCTGGCCGGAGAGGGAAGGGTTGCAGCAGTGCAGAGCTATGTAATCTCATTTATTTTTTTAAGATATGTCACCGTGTGGGTGCTGACATATGCCAGGGCATCGTACTCTCCATCGTGTCCCCTCAGCACCAATATCAAAGCACACTCCTGCTTCCAAGAAACAGTCTTAAGGTATTGCTTTGCCTCCACCTTGGAAAGTTTTGCACATAGGGCTTGTTTGGGTTTGGATTTGGGATTTTTTTCTGCCTTATCATTTGCTGGCCAAAGTGAGAGGGGAAGGAAGGAACCTCTTCCCAGGGGACTCCAGGGTCTAGCAGAGACGAGCACCAAAAAATCTTACTGCACGTGGCAACTCCTAGGTCTGACTATAGCACGACACCTTCCAGCAAGTGAAGCTTAAGGTTAGGAGAGGAGAAGGGAAGTCATCTTCAGCAGGGGTCGAAATAAGAGTCTGGCTTTTTCATTGACCTGAGCAAGCTGTGCAGTAGCTAAATCGTAAGGCAGGTGGGCTGCAGAGAGCACTTCAGGGAGCAGGTTAACAGAACATGCAACACTTTTTCTTTCCTTTTTTTCTCCCTGTTGTTTTACATCTGGGTTCAGAAATGGGTGTTGAAAGGAGGCAGTTCAACCCTTGCCAGCTGTGATCAGCAAAACAGGGCCACCTCCAAGGTCCAAACCTGCCTGTTCCCACTCCCAAAACACTGGCAGACCAGAAGAAAACCCTGTGCAAGTGGTGGGAAAGGGTTTAAGGAAAAACTTAAATTATTCTTGTTTTGTTGTTGTTGTTATTGGATTTTTGTTTGTTTGGTTGGTTGCTTTTTTTGCAAATCCGAGGAGTTAGGGGTTCAGAGAGCAGCCAGTGGATGGCGGGTTACTCTGGGCAAGTTTTGATGCTTTGCTCAAACCCATGTAAGCAGCAAGTTACACAACACGTCCTCCTGGCCCTTGCATCGCAGCACACAGAGCATTGCACCATCTCTGGCCAAAAAAGCATCTGAAGAATAAGAGCAATTTATTGCCACTCCAGTTCCGCTGCAGGGAAGAAAGCGGTTAAGTATTTTCATTGCATTAGAGTAGCTCTCGGCCCACTCCTAAACCCCTCACTTAAAACAGGAACTTAATAGTAGCTGCGTAATTAATCTGAGCAAACAGTTAGATGCGTTAGGTTTTGTGGCTTCCCCAAAATTGCCTTGTTAGCAATGGAAATTGTGGTGCTCTTGGCACACCTGGCAGGAAAGGTGGCTCAGGTCAAGAAGAAAAGCCAAGGAATAGACTTGCAATTTGCTATTAAATATGATCTTTTTGGAGATTTGGGGCTAATGTACTAATTGTGTGTGGATATGTTAAACTAGGGATTCAAGGGAGGGAAGTGATGAAGGGCATAATTTAAAAATGAGCTCAGAATTCATTTTTTAATGTAAACAAAGTAGAGAATACAGGAAAGGAGAAGCCAAGCTGATTCCTAAAGGAAAAAAGCCGAAAGAGTACAGGAAAAAGCCAGCGGATACACAGCTACATTTCTACCATCCTTCTCTTTGCAGATCCAAAATAGAGTGTGAGCATTTCCCTTGCTTATGTTAAGCTATGGTTGGAATACGTCTATTTTGGTTTTGCCGCTGGTGAGGTTTTTTAATGCACTGGGTTTTATATAAAGAAATAGGAGATTATGAAAGAAATAGGGTGGCTTCCTAGAGGTATAGAGGTTACGTAGATGCCTGCTACAGTTGTGAAAATTGCTTCTGTTGAGGATCGTTCTTCAAGTCACTTGTTTTGGAGACTTTCTTGTTTTGCTTTAGATTTTTTTTTAAGTGGTGTGTATGGATGGGATGTGCAGTTGTTAAGGCCAGGAGGAATCGTGGTGGTGGGTGAACACTTAGTGATACTTCTGCTTCCCCTAGCTGGAAGGGAGCTTTAGATGGGGAACTTTCACACCACGTGGAGGTTCATGAGAGCCAAGAGTCTCCTTGGGGGTTGTCTACATGAGGCAGCCTTGAGGATCAGGCTTATTGGGTTTCTCATTTCCTTGCATTTTTTCTTCTCTGCCTCTCGTTGTTGTATGGCTGCAGTCTGAGAGAACATTCAAATGGTTGTGCTTTGTTCTTGCTCAAAACTGAAGCATCCAAAAATAATCATGATTTACGGAATCCTTAGCCAAATAATTAGTGGAAATGAGTGCCCTAAATTATCAGTAGTGACATGAGTTGGGTTTTTTTTTCCCCTTTTTTCCTTTTTTTTGGTCCTTAAGTGAATTATTTTTCTTACAAGAGTGTAACTCTCACAAGAGCACAACTCTTCCTTAATCATAATATGCAGTTTTTCTCCCAGAGCAGGTTATTTTTTGTCTCTAAGTACTGCCAAAGAGCAGAGTTGCCTTAAACTTAAATATACATCTGGAGATGAGACAGGGCAACAATTTATGGGGTGTGAAAGCTCTAAAGCATTTGATATCCTCTACATGGAGCAAAACTTTTTGAAGCTGTGTTTTGTGCTCAAAGTGCACAAATGTGCTGCTGCCTTCTCTTCTGGAATTGTGCTTTTGGTGCCCTATTGCAAAAAAACAAGGTGCTTTAAACTGGAGCCTGCTTTTTCTTTTGCTAGAGCGTAGGCAACGAATCAGCAGCGGCCAGCCGCATAGCCGGAGTGTTTTCCATTCTAGGCAATATCAGGCTAATTTGATGCACACATGGATGCTTCACACAATCTGCAAATTCATCGCTGGCATCTTGCATTAGTCATCTGACAGATTGCCAAGTGTTTCATATTCCTTTCATGTGACTTTATTACAAAACACACGCGCGCGCACACCCCAGCGCTGCCTTATTTCTGCCAGGAGCCAGTTTAGGGAGAATTCACTGCGGTTCTGTTTACAGCAACCATGGAGAGAAATCTTCACTTATTTGCAACTGCCCCTAAGATGCAAACCTACCGATTTGTGGTGTGCAGATCTCTTCTTATATAATGCCACTAAGCAGCAGCCTGCACAGAAAAACGGACTCGATGAAAAATGTAATTAATTGTGCTGTTTTTCTTTTTTGTTTTATTCCTGGTACTTATGCTATTAATTAAAAGCCGATTTTTTTTTCCTGCTTTGTGCCCACTGAGATCATCTTCTGCATCTGGCGCACGTTGGAACTGTGCGGGCTCTTAACTTGCCTTCTCTTTTCGTCTCCTTCCCACTCTCTAGTAACGGCACAGCTAACAAGATGAATGGAGCTTTGGATCATTCAGACCAACCAGACCCAGATGCCATTAAGATGTTTGTTGGACAGATTCCCCGTTCGTGGTCGGAAAAAGAGTTAAAAGAACTTTTTGAGCCTTATGGAGCTGTCTACCAGATTAATGTTCTCCGAGACAGAAGTCAGAACCCTCCCCAAAGTAAAGGTACAGTAGTTGTGATCTTCTTTTTTCCTTTTTGCTTTGTTTTGGCTCGACGGTCTTGCTTGCTTCGGGATTTCCAAAGAGGTTTGTGCCCAGGCTGTGTGTTTGGAGCAGCCGGTGCTGAGCTATGCAGAGCAGGGACCCCCCGAACACCCATCGATTGCTGCCGTGCTCTTCCCTCGAAATTGCCATTTCAGTGCTTGCTATCTGGAAGCGAGCAGTCCAACTGTGCAAAAAATAACAAAAGATTGCCGTCCTTGTTTAAATTATTATTGCCAAGAGACGCGGAAACCTGAGCGGTCACTTTCCTGGGATTAGCTCATGAAAAACATAATTTTCGACTTCCTTTCGTTTCCTCTCTCTGCCCCGCAGGTGGGAAGGATTTTCAGGGTACAGGCAGGGAGGAAGGATAGTGCTGGGCTCTTGCTACATCTTTGCTCCAGAGGCAGTACAAAATTTAAAAAAGCAAAAAAGGCCCTGCCTTTTTCCCCAAAATCAGATTTCCATTTGTTGTTACATTAAAGAATATTTTTTGGCATTGATATTTTTCTAAAAGAGAGGTTCCTCCCTCCCCTTCCCCCCACATTATTCAATGTATGTTGAATGTTTATCCTGATCTATATTGCTTTGTTTAACTATATATCTATGTGCATATTTTAGAATATTATGCATTATAGGACAAAGGTTTAATGTATGCGTCTATGTAGATTTAAAGTGAAGATTTTGCTCCACAAAATGCTCCTTTTTTTTCCCCTGAGATAGTTGTGTATTTTCATTTACGCTCTCCCGTCTTCAGGAGCTGTATATTAAATCGTTGCTAGTGTTGCAAATAAAGAGGCACCTCTGAGGCACAGCTGGATGCACATGTGCGCCTGGCTACTAGATATTTATTCCTCCTCGTCCACTCCCACCGCTGCTTCTAAAACCCCTTAAAGCGCCCACGCTACGGTGAATGGCACTAAAAGATTTTGGGGGCCAGCAGCCGACTAATAGTGCCATACAGCTCTGTGTGTCCTGAGCGTTCCAGTGCCCAGCGAGGTGATTCTATCCTTAAGTCACATTGCACAACTTCAGGTGCTCCTCTGGCTTGGTGCCAAACGCTGCCAATGCTCAGAATTTCCTTCCCTTTCTGGTGTCCAGGATCCTCTCAGTGGCCTCTTCTTTGCTGCCCCAATTTAATCTCTATTTATTTATTTTTGGCTTTGCATCATGTTAGTTCTTTTTTGTTTGCCTACCCAAATTCCTCCATGTCAAAAAAAAAAAAAGATAAAAAAGAATCCTTTAATCTTTTATTTGACATCTGGGAAGGGTTCATATCACCGTTCCCTCCTGCTGATCATATCCCCGTACTAGACTGCTCTCTCCCATTGGTACTTAGGAAACCAAAGGTATTTTTTTCTGGCACTTTTTCAGCTGTGCTTCCAGCCCGAGATGATGTATGTTAGCGTGTAGACCTCTACTCCAGTGCTCCCACCATGTGACTTCTCCTTTTCAAGCTGGAGAGGAGATGGTATTAAAAGGTCAGGCATGGGATTTTCTGCAACCTAGGCTGCTATGGATGAGCAAACTCCTCGTCCGTTTAAACCTCCAAAATGCTGAACCTTGAGGCTCATCCATTTAGAAAGAGCTGATTCCTGGGCCACAGAAATGCCTTCCCACTAAGCAGCAAATGAAGTGAGAATGATATTGTGGTTAGACAGAGGAAACTCATTGATTCCCGTTCCTGTCGTGTTTTCCAATATGCTATACCTGCTCTACCTGGCTGCCCAGCAGCTCAAAGGCACGAGGATTAAATCCAGGTTGTGCAAATCATTATTGGCTAATTACAAAGGCTTGTAGTCCCCATGTTCAATATTCTTTTGCAGATTGTTTTTTGTTCAGAGTTTTGGGGTTGCTGTTGGGGTTTTTGTTTGTTTGCTTGTTTATTTGTTTTTGGCGTGGACTTTTTTCAGCCATGCACAGATGATGCTTTTATGTCACTCCAGCCTTAATATGTTTTAATGAGTAAATGAAATTAATCCTTCAGGCAGCCAGTGCAACCTTCAGACTTATATTTCCCTGACGCAGCAGCGAGCTCCTCCCTTGGTCAGCTTTTCTCTTGGAAAGCTCGGACGAGCGTATCTCCACGCTTGCTTTCCCCTTCCTTCTGGCCCAGCCTGGTTGCCAGATATAGAAACCTCTGGAGTTTTCCCCTGACTAGGTGCAATCTTTACTTTCTTAATCCAAGAGCACAAAGAAATCTCCATGCAAGTGATTTTTAGGCATCTGATATGAGCAAGAAAGCAAAAGAAAATTGTCCTGATGAATGTGCAGTGGTCTTGTTGTCATCACAGATGACCAAGGAGTGCTCTCAAAATGGGATTTATGAGCAAAGATACAGGATTTATTATCAAAGCTGGGCTTTGCTCTTGCTTAGATGGTGAGGTCTCATACTGAACTTTCCTTACGAATTCTTCTTCCATACCTTCATCATGAATCTCTCTTATTAGGGAATTGCTCAGCTAAAGGGGTCCCTCCAATTTGGGCAAAACTTTTCCCAACGAGCTGTTTGTGAAGCCCAAGTGCTTTCACATGCAGTTCTGGCTCAAGTGTCCCTGGGCTAGCTGTGACCTCCCGGCACTCTCTCCAGCTGTGAACGGCCACGTTCAGTTATCATCTCACTTATTTTCATTAACCAGCAGCTCTGCAGAGCTTGGAGGAAGACAGGCGATTGGAAAGCCAAGTTTTGCTCCTTTGGGGAAAGAATTCTTCCCCTACAGTCCCCTGCTGCTCTCTCATTACCCACACAAGGAGCCATTTCCATAGAACCTCCATGGTGATTGCGCCGCTAGTGGGAGTCCCGAGCTTGGCTTGGGGGTGCTCCGCGTGCACAGATCCCTGCTCTCCTCCCTGTGCGCTCAGGCACTTGCAGCTCTGGGTTTTGCACCCAGAAGACGCTGTGTTTCCACGAGCAGTGGCCGGGCTGCTCTCTGTAAGCAGAAATCTCATCGTGCTTTCAAGAGCATGCACTTCTGAAGGGTTTTCTGCACGTGTGAAGGAGCTCAGCAAAGTCATTTGGCTTGCGAGATCTGTCCACTGTTGTTTTTGTAAGACCTATCCCTCTTTCTGCAGCAGCAGAAATCCAGGGGATTAAGTAAACTACATGAAAGGAAAAAAATATCACAGTAAATCCAGTAACACTGAAATAAAATGGCACTTTCAACTTGTGGGGGCCGAGGGAATTCAAAATCCAGGTGGATCGGCCAGCTCTGTTCCTGGTCTGCTTTGTTCCCTTTATATCATTTATTATGGATGGAGAGGTGACTTTTTTGGAGCTGTTGCTAGCGAGAGTGGCTGCAATCCCCTGCTAGCCACTGCATGCAGAGGCCATAGGAAGAACCACCTGCATTTCTCCTTGTCCTGGGTGCTCTGTTAACCCATCACAAATTCCCTGCCGACTCCAAGAGCTGGAACAAACAGCCAGGGACTCTGCAGACCTTTGGACCTGTAGGACCATCCTGGGCCAGATCCACAAGGTCTTTTTGGCCCCTGGCCCCCGCTTAGCTCCCTGTTAAATCCCACAGGGTTGGTGGTCCCCAAAATGAGCACCAAAATGCCAGCCCTGGCATCCTGCTCTGGTGGTTGGTGACAGGTAATTCTTAGGTGGCAAATCTTGCAGGGTTGCTTCAAGATGGGAAATGATGCCTATTGCCACCTTAGGTTTCCCCAGGAGATCGATATTCTTTCACTGTCTGTGTAAATGGATTTGACAGAAAGAATCCCTGGCTCATTATCCACATTCTTTTGGAACCTGCTGAAGGGACTGAAGGGGCAAAAAGCCACCTTGATAACTTGGAGAAAACAATGTGATACAGGGCAATGTGGCTGGGCAGAGAGAACCGGGAGCCAAAGGAGTCAATCCAAGTCTTGTAGGCGCTGAATGAGCGGATTTTGCAAACCCGCGGGAGCAGATTTGGAGCGTGCACGTCTCATCAAAGGACTAACAGGGTGTTTTGTATCCGTGTGGGCAAAAAGGCACCGAAAACGCAGAGCACTGTAAATGGGAATATTGAATATAGCTTTCAAGGAAACATTGTCGCACTTAAAGGAGGCCTTCTTTTTTTTTTTTTTTTTTTTTGATCATGTTTAAACGCCAGTTGCCAATATTTAGCACCATTCTGCAGCAAAAGGGCAGAGGTCCGGAGAAGAGCAGCATGTTTTGTACAGAGCCAGGGAGGGTTAAGCTATGGGAAGAGGTCTAAGAAGGTGAGCTTGTGAAGGGCTTGAAGCACGAGCTTGCAAGAAAGCAAAAAAGGGGAATTGCTGTGGAAGAATACAGGACTGTGCCTGGGTTTGGAAAGGAACAAGGTGTAAGGGGCTGTGATTGAAGTTTCTGCAGTGTGTCCAAGTGTGTGCCGGAGACAGGAACAGATAGGCTCTTTCAATTAATATTAAACCCACGGACCGCACAGAATAGGCTCAAGATAAAGCAACAGTAGGCTAAAAAAAAAGGGGGGGGCGGGGAGGGGAACCTTCTTAAGTCCCTTTTTCTTCCTTCTCAAGCAGAATGGGAAATGTTCTTGCAGAAAGAGAAGGAAGAAAAGTTCCCAAAGCAAGTTGCTGCTCCAGTGTGGCGTACAGGGATACACAGGGATAAGGGGCAGGGGGAAAGGCACCTAAGGCAGCTTCTGCACAGGACGGGACGCCGGGCACGGCTGCGCACCCGCGGCCGCCTCGACGGGGAGCTGAGGTTTCTCCTGACCCCTGATATTTGTGCATCGCTTTGAAGGGAGGGAGCAGCTGAGGGTGGCAGCTCCCGGCGCACCCGACCGCCCAAACCTGTTGTCCACATAAATCAACCTCGCTGAGGATCCCCTTCGGCAACCACGGCGAGGGAGAGGGACATTTTCATAAGGAAACGTATCGCCTGACTGTCCAGCAAGGTCTTTGGGAAGATGCCGTGACCAGAGCGGTTTTTCAAAGATGATTGCCAAAACTATTAGAGGAATTTGGAGGAGATGGGA